GCGTGGGGCCTAGGGATCCTCAAAAAACCCATGGGAAGTGCCAGGCGGGGGTGCTGTGTCCCTGGGGATGCCACGGGTGGCCGGCAGGGGACTGTGGGACAGCAGTCCTGGCACTGAGCCTCTGCAGATGCCTGCAGGTCTGAAGGAAGACTCGTTCAACGTGCTGGACCTGGCAGAATACACCAAGAACCGGCCCTGGTGGCGCAAGGTCTTTGCCCCCAGCTCGGGGTCGAGTGCTGAGAAATACAATGTGGCCACGCAGCTGATAATTGGAGGGGTCACAGGATGGTAAGATGTGCTGGGACTGCCATTGCTGCCCATGGCAGGTGCCTGCAATTGCTAGCTGGGCTTTTGGGAGCGTGCTGATGGGTGCGTCACGGGCATCTGGCAGTCTTTCAGAGAAGGCAGGTGTCCAGCTCACTCAGCCCACTGGCATGCTCTGCTGGGCTGTGGGAGGTCTTAAAAGCTGTCTCTAACATGGAGCTGAAGAACCGAAACTATCCCCTATGGAAGACAATGACATCAAGCTTTAATTTTTGAACTGAGATAGTTCTCTTTAATTTCTGGCATAAAGTGGTGGCGTTGAATTTAGCACAGGCCAGTATGAGGCTCTTGGAACAAGGATGCCTTGTTTCCTGAAGGGGGGTGTGCATCAGGCAGCTGCACAAAACCCTCCTCTTGTGCCTGTGGGCATGGTTCCTGGGATTTCATGTTGCTTGTAGCAAGTGCTGGGGGCTTGTGGTTCTATTTGCAACTTCATTCCCACAGCAGCATTGTTTGAGTTGAAAATGGTGTTGTCACACTGCTTTGCTTCTTGCCATGCCTCTTCTTCACATGGCACAGGAGTAACCACTAAAACTGTGACTGTTCCCCATTTTATGACAGAAGTGTGAGCTGGCCGCCTCTCCTGTATCTTCACTAGGTGTATGTACTCAGAAATGGGTGGGAGCAGGCTGCTGTTATTTTGCACTGTTGATAAGGAAACTGATCAAAGTGTAGTCTGTTTTTTGTGTTACGATCCACTTGCCCTTTGCTGCATGGCTGAGGAATGGTGTGGCTCTTCCTTGAGCTCAGGCTGCAGTGATGTCTTCCATGCTGAGAGCACGTGACACAATTTGGAGATCAGTATACCTTTAGACCGCTGCTGTCTGCTTGTTTCATCATTTTCCTCTTCTGAGAAATTAAAAAGGAAAAAAAAACCTATTTTTTGGGCAACAAAAAGCTTGTCTTGTGATCCTCCCATGCTCTATCACAGCAGCAGCAGATATGCTACATAATTTCCCTTCAGAGGTGATACCATTTTAAAAAAGCTAAAGTCGCTTTTGGGAGGAGTTTGACACTGAAGAGATAAGAATCAAAACTGCAAAAGGCTGACATGTGATAGTGAGAGTAAAAACCTGTAAAGCATCACTTTTGGCTGGGTGCAAATTGTTTTCTCTCTGGTTGCTCTTGGGTTTCTTCTGCCGTTTTTCAGGCTGTCTCCAAGTCTTGGGTAATTACTGCCAAAGGCAGCCTTGCCTCTGGGAAGCGTGCTGGGGACTGTGTGTTTGGCATCTCCTTCTCCTGACTGGATTCTGGTTGATTTGTAGGTGTACTGGATTCATCTTCCAGAAGGTTGGAAAGCTGGCAGCGACAGCTGTGGGAGGTGGCTTTTTCCTGCTTCAGGTGTGTATGAACAGTGGTCGAGCTTTCCAAGAACTGGTGGGGGTGAAAGGCTGTCTAGTGATCGTTATCTTTTGGGATGTGTGGGGGCAGTTCCCTGCTCTGCCCGGAGCTCAGCATGGCTCTGGATGTCCCAGGTGTGTGTTCCCTGTGGTATATAGGTGCAGCAGCAAAGCAGGATCAGCATATATGAACTTAAGGATTACCAAAAGGTCCTATGGACTTAGGGCCCACAAAGGCATGTGGGAGCTGTTACTGCAGGGGCATCTGAGCAAAGCAGGGAGCAGCCTTCGTGTGTGGCAAACTACACTGCTGCAGGACTGTCTGGTCAGAACTGGTACTGTGCTTAGTCCTGTGCCTGTGGAGATGGTGTCCCTGGAGGAACAGCCCTGGATGTCAACAGAGATTTGTCTATGTCTGTGATATGCTTCTTGTCAGTCTGGCTGCTTGAGGAGTCAGGCCAGCACAGATGGGGCACTCTGTAAAGCGTTGGGGAAGAGGAGAGAAACAGAGATCTCTTCCTGTCCTCAGCCACTTCTGGTTTCCAAGAGCCCTGGCACTGAGGGGAGCTGCTTGGATGTGGACATCTAGCTCATAGATCCTGCAGCAGAAAGGACAGCTCTCAGGCCTCACTCAGCAGACTTGTTTGTTTGCTTCTCAGGCACCATCCTGTGTGTGACTAGTTCTTCTCACTCTTCTGGCTTTGCTTGTTCTGCTAAAAGCCAAAAGCTTGCTCTGAGCAGGAAGAGTTCCACTATGAAATCATCCTGACCAAATGAAATGGAGATGAATAGGTGTGTCCACCCACAGCAGCAGGAAAACCACAGAGAGTCTCAACAATATGTGTGGCAGTTGTGTGGGGCAGATGATGCCAGCTTTGCATTAGATAGTAGAGGGCAAAACAGGAGAAGCTCCGTGTGCTCTGCTGGCAGGAGATAACTGTGGGAGCCAGATGTTGCAGGACAGTTCATACAGCTACAGGGATGGTCCTTGGTCTGTTTTTTAAGCTAGTGTGCTCATCCTCTCAGCCCACTGGACCAGTGTGTGGGAGATGGCTGTGATCAAGGAAGGTGGGTGGGCAAAGGGGATCTGTTTAGCCATGGTCATGCAGGACGTTACTCCAGGAACTTTCTTTCCACCACTCCAAACTCTAGATTGCAAATCACACCGGATACATCAAGGTGGACTGGAAGCTGGTGGAACGGGACGTGAACAAAGCCAAGCAGCAGCTGAAATTTCACAGCAGTGGTAACAAAATGTCTCCAGAAGTGAAAAGCAGAGTGGATGAGGTGAGACAACTCTCTTACGGCGTGTGCAGTTGCTTAGCTGGAGGGACAGCAGAAAATGGGATTGACTCCTGGGCTCTTACAGATCTTCCACTGTGCAAAATAGAAGGAGGGAATGCTTGTGTGACAGCAAAATTATCATGGCAAAGGCTGTGGATGTTGTCTACCTAGAATTTAGTAAAGCCTTTGACACCATTTCTTATGCCATTCTCCTGGAGAAGTTGGCTGCTCATGGCTTGGGTGGGTGTACTATTTGCTGGGTAAAAAACTGTCTGGATGGTCAGGCCCAAAGAGTGATGATGAATGGAGATAAATCTAGTTGGTGGCCAATCACAAGTGATGCTCCCCTGGGCTCAGTGTCTGAGACAGTTATGCTTAATGTCTTTATCAGTCATCTGGATGAGGGGATGGAGTGCACCCTCAATAAGTTTGTGGACAACGCAAAGCTGGGTGGGAGCATAGATAAGCTTGAGGGTAGAGGAGCTTTACAGAGGGATCTGGACAGGCTGGATCAATGGGCCGAGGCCAGTGCTATGAAATTCAACAAGGCCAAGTGCTGGGTCCTGCACTTGGGTCACAACAACCCCAGGCAAAGCTACAGACTTGGGGAGGAGTGGCTGGAAAGCTGCCTGGCAGGAAAGGACACAGGGCTGTTTGTCAACAGCCACCTGAGCCAACAGCCATGTTGTGTGTGCCCAGGGGGCGAAGAAGGCCAACAGCATCCTGGCTTGTAAAAGAAATAATGTGGCCAGCAGGACTAGGGAAGTGATCATCCCCCAGTACTCAGCACTGGTGAGGCCACAGCTGTAATAGTGTGTTTAGTTTTGGGCCCCTCACTACAAGAAAGACACTGAGATGCTGGAGTGGGCCCAAAGAAGGGCAACAAAGCTGGTGAAGGCTCTAGAGAGCAAGTCTTATGAGGAGCAGCTGAGGGAACTGAGGTTGTTCAGTCTGGAGAAAAGGAGGCTTGGAGACCTCATTGCTGTCTACAACTGCCTGAAAGGAGGTTGTAGCACGGTGGGTGTTGGTCTCTTCTCCCAAGTAACAAGCAATAGGACAAGGGGAAATGGCCTCAAGTTGTGCCAGGGAAGGTTTGGGCTGGGTATTAGGAAACATTTCTTCACTGAATGGGTTGTAAAGCACTGGAACAGGCTGCCCAGGGAAGCTGTTGAATCACTGTCTCTGGAGGTATTTAAAAGACAAGTAGATGTGGTGCTTAGGGACATGGTTTACTCAAGAGTTGGACTTGATCGTCTTAAAAAGGTCTTTTCCAACCTTAAAAATTCTACTATGATTCTGTTGTTCTACGTATGTGTATTTGAGACAGACAGGGTGGTTTCTAGGCATGACACCACATCACTGTGAGTTGCTGTGAATCCCTTGGGTTTCTCCTGGGGCTGTGGGCAGAAGTGTCTCTTCAGTCTGACAAGGAAAGCTAAGCAGGTCTGGCAGCAGAGTGGTGTAGTTGCCTGGGCTCTGCGGTGCCCTGGTCTGGCAGGCAGAGGCAGCAGCCCCCTCTGTGAGACAGACGGGTGTCTGTCAGAGCCCTGGGGCTGTGGGCTCAGGCTGCAGCTCTGGGAGGATCCGGGCTGTGCTGGGGCTGTGGGATTGGGAAGCAGAGGCCGTTACATAGGAGACTTTCCCACACCCCAGCAGGGGCCTCTGCGAGCACCGCGCACCTTGGGGAGCAGCCTGAGCGGTGTCTTCATGTGGGGAGGGTGCCTGAGCAGCCTGCTGTGGTTGAACACTGTTGGCTCTTCTCTCCCCTGCTTAGGTGATCATATTTCTGAAGAAGAATGTTATCCTGACTGGAGGGTTTGCTGGAGGATTCCTGCTTGGAATGGCATCCTAGAAACTGCACTCGACTCTCTCTTCATGCCCAGCCTCCTCTGCCCACCTCTACTGTTGTTCTCTCTCACTTAGAAGTGAAAGGATGTTGCTGACAGGCTCAGTCCATTCTTCTCACAGGTTCCAGCCGTTATTTCTCACAACACTGCTTCCAATTTCCAACTTTTTATTCTGTTTGAGCTGTTAGGGTGTTGGGAATCTATCTGAAAGCTTATTACTCCTGATGTGTCATTGCAATTCCTTGCCCTACCAAATATGCCCAGACCCAAATTTTCTGAGTTACAGCCTCATAAACATGTAGTGGTGGAAAAATCTCTTAAATCTGCTTCTTCCAAGGTGCTCAAGGCTGTCACGTGTCTGCCAGTATATGTGTACAACAGCTGTCCACTGCTATTTAGCTTGCACTTTTTCTGCCCTGGCACTTGGAAAGCCTGTGCTTTGCTCTGCACAGAGATGGTGTGTGCAATCCAAAATGTGCTTGGCTGTTCTGGGGTGGGTGCATAAGTATCAATGGGCAGCCTGGGCTCTGTCTAGAGTGGGTGAATAAGGAGCAAGTTGATGCTACATGTGGTGCTGGAAGTTCTCCTGCCCTCACCCCTGCTATTGCACTGCACATAGATGGCCATTTGGCTTCTTCTCTGATGTTATTTTTACCCCTTACTGGCATTTCAGCACTGCTGATGGAAACTGAGCACCATGGGTGACTCTGCAGGCCCTTTCCTGGTCATGTGTTCTCCAAGTCACCAGGCTTGCTGGGCTGGGGAAGGCCTGGCTGGCTGTGCACCCCTGAAGCACGCTGAGGTGCTCTCTTGTGGTGGGTGGGCTCCAGTGTGCTGGGCCTGGCTGTGTCAGGCATTTCAGCCATGCACTTACTGTAAATCACCTTGGGCCTCAGACTGGTGTTTCTAGGTGTGCTGTGACCTCTGGCCACTTTGGTGTTGGTGATACTGTTAGAGCTGTACCCATGTGGGACAGGATTGTAGGCAGGAAATGTATCCCTGTTTGGGATGCGTTGTACTGATCTGGGGTCCCTGTTGCCAGCTCTACTGGAGTGGTGGCAGGAGAGGATGTGAAATCTGGAGTGCTGTCCTTTACCTGCTTCTGCTGAGCACAAACTCCACCTCCCCAGTCTCTGCAAGCAACTGAAATGACAAAACTGGTGGTAAAACCAGGTTGTGGGCTTGTGGAAGGGGCTCATTTCCATACTTTCTGTCTTGCTTACGTTCCTTCCTTGTTTGCATTTACCATTTCCACAAAAAAGAAGAGCTGTGTACTTAATTCCATTAGCTGCAGCCCTTCTCCTGCCAGTGATGGGGCAGCCCAGATGCAGAGCTCAGCTTTTTCTGGACAGTCTGCCCTGGGGCAGGTGTGTGCAGGTCAGAACTCTAACTGACAACAGACTATAATAAACAAATGCCTTGGAGGTTGTGCTGGCTGTGCTGTGCTGCTGCTATTGCTTTCCAGAGTGCAGGGACTTGCATGATGGCACGGTGATGTCCTCCAGCAGGCACGTATAGGAGTTCTTGCCAAGGATGTTTTTGTTTGGGGTTTGTTGTTTTTTTATGTGAAAGCCCATTCTTCCATGGGAAACATGCCAGGGAGAGATGACACAGTGGTGATGGGGATGCAGCACCTGGCTCTGTGGCTGCACCCCATCTCAGTGCAATGTAATGCCTTTCTGATCATCCACCACTGCTTCCATGTATGGCTAGAAGTGGAGGCCTTCCCCCAGGAGCTGATGGAAGAGTTGGAATGGTGGGTGCTTCCACCAGAGGCTTTGGGGTGAGCACTTGCAGCTAATTTTGCTTCAGCTCTGTTGATTGAAGTGTCAGTGTAGCAGCACATTGACTTAGCTGAGGCTTTCTCACCTTCAGGATCTCAGAAGAGGCTGCAGGTAATCAAGAAATAGAGATTGGTACCTTTGGTTCTGTCCTGCCATACATGGACAGAATGAAGGGGCAGCTGCGTTCACATCCTTTCAATGATGATCTTAAAAGCCATCCAGGACTGCAGGAGTGATGTGCTGCAGCAAATAAGTCTTCAGTAAACTGGTGTTTGACAGGGGAGTGACAGGTGATGGTGGTTTTAGTTTGGCTGGTGTTTGTTTTTTTTGTAGGAACCCCGCAGGGCTGGATGTGCATGAATTTATATATTTGTATTGCAGGGCTATCTCTTGTTCCTGTAGGAAGACAGCATCACTGCCCCTCTGCCTGGTGTGCTTCATAACACTCCTTTTGAGACGTACTAATCTCCACAAAGCTTTCTCCAACAGTAAAGCTCAAAGAAAATCATTAACAGACCTTAGGGGTGTTTTTCAGGCTCAAACACTGACTGTTTCTGCCTGGCCCCAGGGATGGGGGTACTGGGTTCTGCTCTGCAAGGTCACGACTTGCTGCTATGGAGAGGAATGGCCCAGAGAGGGAGCTAAAACGCCTCAATTGCTGCTGGACAAGGCAACGAGTAACAAATTCACATTGTTTGATGTGAGTGCAGGCAGGGAATGGACAAGGACATCAGGACCTGGCAGATCTTTCTGTTGTGCCAGTGTCAGGCTCATGGCTGGCACTGTTTCATGCTGTGGGCCCATACTGGAAACTGATGCTGAATCCACCTCTGTGGAGATGCTTTTTCATTGTTGCAAGTGCCACCATGTGGTGTTCCACCCTGCTCCCTTTGGTCTTGTTTCAACAACAACTGGCATCTGTTCCAATGTGAGAAGGTTTTAAATACACTAGGCTTTTAAAGTGTTTTTATATATTGTATGTAAATGCTTGTTGAAGTGATATTTTATTAAACAGTTTTGCTGTAATAGCTTCTTCTGTGTCAAGTCTGTTGACTTCTTGGGAAACAGTGTGATTTTGTGATACCCAAATGTTGCATTTGACTCACCAGAGCAGTTACAGCCAGTCTGGTAGCGTGAGGCCACCAGCCTTCCCCCTTCTTTGCAGGTAACCATGGGCTGCCTCAGTAAACCCTGTCGCCCTGATGGTCCTGGCACCAGTCACCCGTGTTCCAAATAGGTGGGATGCAGCTGGGGCAGGAGGTGATTCTGTTGCCAGCCTGGATTCAAAGCCTGTCTGCTGAGCAAGTTTGCTCCACCCAAGTAGAAATGGGCATGGAGACAAGGTTTTTTCTTTTTAATAGGTGCAGCAGAAGCCTAAATATTTTTTAGCATCTATTAATGACTTTTTTCCACTGTTCCTGCTCAGATAATGGCAAAAGAGAAAAATTATCCACTCAAGCGTTTGAGTTGCGTTGCAACATTGTCATCACGTTCCCCTGCCTTTCAAGAACACTGAAACCTCTGTTTTGTCTTAAGGTTTTTGAGGGGGGGAGAAGGGGCAGGAGGGGAAGACTAGCCCTGAATTCTTCTGATCTTGAGCCCTGGTTATAAAATATCAAGGAGCTTCTATTTAAACATGATGATATCACATGTTGCTCTGGACTGAATAGCAACCAAGCTGCTCAGCTTGCAGCTATGTGGTATTAATAAACAACCAAACTGAGACTACAATTTGTTCCAGTCATTTATTTTGTGTTATAGCATTTCAGAGCAGTGAATACAGATGATTTGCTTCTCTAGGCTTCAATACATTCAACTATTGTGCCTAGACTATAGTGGTCTCTTTATAGAAGCTGTATTTTGTAAGTTGATCACCGCACAGAAGTACTTTGCAGCTAGGTCTAATGCCAGAGCTAGGGGCCTAGTGGGTTCGAAGTCTGCTGTTTTGGTGCCTGGGCCCTGCAATGGACTTCGCATCCGCTGAGGTGCCTGGACTCCTTGCTACAGGGGACAGAGAGACTTGGGCAGCTCTGAAGGGTGATGCAGGAACCTGTCTACCAAGCTCTTCATATCGGTCACAGGAAATTCTGCTACGCAGGTGAGCCATACCTCCCTGGGGTCCAAACACTGCTGGCTTGTGAGCCTGGAACGCTATGTTGAAAGCAAGTGCCCCCAGCCACTTGCTCAGTAAGCAGCAAGTTCTTGGATCTAGCCCAGGGCTTTGTGACAGGTCTCTGGGTACCAGTGGGTTGAACTACGCTGAGTTCCGAACGTATTGCTTAAAGGTGTTCAATTATACATAAATTTATAAATTTTATATGAACAGTCAGATCTTTCAAATGAATATTGCTTTTTTAAAAAACCCTATTCCTGTAGCAATCCCTGAAATTATGTTCCTGTAACATCTTTGTCATGCAAATAGCAGCGTGTAGGCAATTCAAATATAAATTAACCAAAAGTCTGTCCAGTGGGAAAGTGAGGCACTTAGGCAAAGTGACTTGTAGTCACCTATCGTCTGTGCAAGACCTAGGAACAATCCCCAAACCCGATTCCCATTCTTGAGCTTGAACCACTGGACAAGCAAATGTCTGGAACTATTGCTGAGGGCAGCAATACCTTTGCTGTGTGAAGATGGGCTTGTTTTATGTGTCACGCTTAAACTCACTCTTCTGAGCTCATTTCCTGTACCTCTCACTCCAAAAGCCTGAATAACTTGGTTCCAGTTCTCCATTTTGAGAGCAAAGATGGATTAGAGTAAGGTAAGCATTCTAAAAACATTAAGTTGACTTTTCACAGACACAGGTGCAATGCAAAGACAATGTAGATGTTTTGGTACAGAAAATAAAGTCTGTTAACCAGGCCATCTGTTGGTACCACATGATACTTTTTGGTGTGCCAGATGATGTCTTCTAGACTTGAAATGCAAGCACACAAGCTCTGCAGGTGAGTCTGTGCTCTGGCACCTGCTGGAGCTGCACTGTGTTACTGAGGTGGTGCAGGAATTCCTTCTGAAGTTGCCTTAAACTTTTCTCTCTCCCTTTCTTCTTTCTCAAACCCTGAACAACAGATGGATCTGCCCTTTGGGTACCGGGCGCAGCACTTCCGCATCTCCCGAAGCATGGCTTCACACTTGTACTCCATGTAGTTGTTCACTGGAAAATAAGAAGGAGACACTAAGTCTGCAGAGGGGAACAGGTTTTGTCCTCAGAGGTGACACATCTAGCCCAGCCTTTCAGCTGCTGGACAGCACGTTTCTCTGAAAAGCAAGAGCTGCTTACAAGCTTTTCATCAGTTTCTCTGCCCTATAAAAATCTCTCTTTAGTTTCGGCTACCTAAAGCCACGCGAAGCCATCCTTGCCATTGCAGATGGGAGCATCTCCAGTTCCCATTGTGTAGCTATCACATCTCACTACTGTAAGAATGAAGTTTTCCTTCAGTTCTTACTTCCTTTAGATTGTGTGCTTTTAAGCTAGATCTTGTCATCCGTGGCCTGAAAGCCAGCTGCCATGCCACGTTTAGGACTCAGTGTAACTATAAGGGCACCCAAAGCAGACTTGGTATGAACAGGCACACGTGCACCTTCGGCACTGGGGCATTTGTAAAAGGAAGGGGCGAGGAGCACAACTGCCAACCCGTTACTGGTGACCTGTGGTGGGCAGGCTGCAGAGCTGCAGCATAATGGAAG